TTATCTGGTATTATCAAACACAAAAAATATGCGATTCTCTTAGCAGCTGAGTAATGAGTTTCCCTTACGCCCTTAGTGAAGTTTGTAATTATTAATATTAGTTTCATACAAGAAAATCTTGTCAGTTAATTAAAAATCTATTAAATGTTTTTTTGTGTCTAAAATAAAGTTTTTTATACTAGTGCAACTTTAGCTGTGGAACTGTCTGCATACATTTTCTTGTAGTTTGGTCATGGGATGATCAAAAAAAAAACATGCACAATTTGGTCCAGTTATAATTATTTCTGCAAGAACAAGGAATTATCTATTTTTTTCTGATGCCAAATCTGAACAATCCACAGTTTCATAGTGAGTCAAAAGCAGCATACAGTTCAGCAAAAATACACTYAAGTCTGAGAAAACATGCTGGAATATGTGCGTTTATATTTGGACATTGTCTCGCTTACTGATCTTTCAGACTATTTGTTGTAAAGCCAGGAAGATAAATAAAGTCTGAGCGGATGCTGCGGACATGGTGTTTGTACAGGCCACCCCTCCAGAATATCTCTAAAATTAAATTCTGACTTCATCGCTTGTGAAAAACAGCATCTAACACATCATCAGAAGCTTAATGATAAGTAGCTGCTGTTTCAAAGATTTTAATTCACTCTTATGTTGCACCAACTCACAGCAGAAGTGTAATCTTAGAGCCCATTACAAATCCTAAAATAGCAAATCTAATTCAGTAGAATTTTGTGCCAATGATGATAAATGACTCACATTTAACATGAGGGAAGTCCCAGCAGAACCAGGCTCAGGATGAGYGGCCATCTTTCTTGACCTTGGGGTCTGAAGGTCAATAGACTCGATGCTTTTTCTCAAGACACGTCAGTGCGAGACTTCGATGCCTTCTGTTCGCATTTGTATGATTCCTGAAGGGACTGAGGCAGCAAAGTACCGGTAAATCAAATCCAGCCCACCCCTGGTGCACCTTTTTGCTGTGAAGCGTGGTAGCAACCAGGGCCAACTGTAGCCAATTTGGCGCCTTAGGCAAGATTTCAGGTGGTGCCCCTTGTTCAATTTTCTAAATCTCATTGTCAGATTACATGTGTTCACAAAACAAATTAAATAGTTTTGTCTTTAAAATTATATACATATGTTAACGTAACGATATAATCCATTTGAAAAAGAATACCAAATGTCTACCTCATACCTGCTGACATCTGCTGACAGCAGTGAGGTACACCTGTTCATTGTAACAAGCAGCTGTGGACTGAAGCAGTTCCAACCATTTGAAGAACATTTTACTAAATTCTCAGGAGTAATAAAACCATAAAATCAGTAAAACACTAAAAATAATAATAATARTGATGGGCAGCACTAATCTAAAAATTTGTTCCACTAGCCCTAAAAYACTAACTCAAATATTTAGGTCCCCTAATTTTAAAGCACTAACGCGTTGAACATTTTATCAAAAGCTAATTCTAAAGCACTAAAATAACCCAGTCAACCCATGAACATTCTTCAACAGACAATGAGTCACATGTTGCCATGTTGCTCTCTTAATTCGTATTATTAACATAACAGAGAGTCAGTTCCTCTAAATCTGAGGCCATGGTTCTCGTCTGGAAAAGGGTGAAATGCCGCCTCTAGGTCGGGGGGAAGTCTCTGCCTCAAGTGGAGGAGTTTAAGTATGTGAATGTCTTGTACATGAGTGATGGTAGGATGGACTGGGAAATTGATCGACGGATTGGGACCTCATCTTCAGTAATGAGGGCGTTGCTTCGGTCAGTCGTGGTGAAGAAAGCTGAGTTGAAAGGTAAAGCTCTAGTTTATTGGTTTGTCTACTTTCCAACCCTCGCGGTCATGAGGCATGGATCATGACCGTAAGAACGAGATCCCAGACACGACTGAAATGAGCTTCRTTCGTAGGGTGGCCGGGCTCAGCCTTAGAGATACGATGAGGAGCTCCATCATCCGAGGGGAAAGGAGTCAGTCAAGGTGGTTCTGACATCTGGATGCCTTCTGGAGACCTCTCTTTAGAGGTGTTCTGGGCACGTGCCACTGGTAGCAGGCTCCAGGGAAGACCCATGAATCCCTTGAGGGATTATGTGTCCTCTCTAGCCTGGGAATGCCTTGTGGTTCCTCAGGACGAGCTGGAAAGTGTCACTGGGGAGAGGGAAGTCTGGGTTTCTCTCCTGGACCTGTTGCCTCCATGACCCTTGAATAAGAGGCAGAACATGGAGATGGAATAACAAAGCAGACTGAGGAACCCTCAGAGCAAGTTACCTTCATAAACGTGAATAACCACAGATTTTTTACAGACTAGATCAACTATACTCTGTTAAAAAGTTATCAAATGTTTTTTGTTGCCCATTTAGGATGCCAAAACTTCACTTCCTTGTCATTACTCTTCTTCAGTGATAGAGCTTGGTGATGTTTCAAWCWGTTAAACACTGCCACCAACTGTTCAGGAGGAYTATTACACCCCTAAAGGTTGTTTCACTGTGGAAGCGGGGTGTAGAGCAGGGTGGCCAAATATTTGTCTGTGGTGGCCCTGGCCACCCAATGGCTCCGCCCTTGCCCCTAAATAGACGGCACCCTTGGCATTTGCCTATCCTGCCTATGCCACGGACCGGTCCTGGTAGTAACATGAACGAATTGGCTGACGTGAAAATGTAAGGTGGTGTCACAACAWAACAGTGTGATGAAGTGATGACAACCAGCTAGATTAAACACCAAAAAATCTGTTTATTATTGAGGGAATATCAATGAAGTTCACTGTCACTTTGTATTTAATTTAAAAACTAGTTAACCACTAAGGGAATCATTAAACTGAGTTAATTATGTTTTGAAATGTTACGAGGGCTCAGCTTAGTTCTACATCTTTCAGTTCCGCAATGTTCGCTTCATTTCTGAACGCATCCATTGAATGATTTGGGAAGATGGACTGGTCTGATCAATCATTTTGCAGAACTGTTTTATGAAAGATCCCAGAGAAACAGAAAGATTTGTCTGGGTGGTTTGAAAACAGGCTAACTGAGGCAATAATTCCGTGCACAAACGTGAAGAGTTGTAGCGGTCCGAGTCTATAGCAGCACTAAGGTATACCTCAGTAAACCCAACCCAACACTAGGATTCATCAAAAAGAAAAGTCCTAAACGTCTTCCATTAGGTAGACAGGGGGTCAGCTCCAGAGAGAAATTAGACGAGGAACCTGACAGTGGTGCCTCCCATTTTAGAAACTCAAAAAAACCACTGCAGTGTGAGAGTTTGACAACTTCTTCACCTTTGTTTAAACTTTTGTTTTAGTTAGGGTTCCAAAATTATACAAGCTCAAATACACTTTTAGAAATGTGAGAACTTTTCACTTCCCTTATAAATGAATCTTTCTTGACTTTCTCGTCATAAGTTTGATGGACTTCCCTGACTGGAAACTTCTTTTCTTTTTTTTTCTTCTTATCTCCTGTTAGATGTAATCAGCAGTCGTGTGACCGAAGGGATTCCCATGAGTCTGATTGAGAGTACAGGACCTCTGAGGGAAACGGTTGAACAAACAGGAAGGAGGCAGTTTCTGCATCACAGGGCATCGTCTGTTGTGTTTGTTTCTGGTTGGTTTCGAGAATGGGGAATAAAAATAGGCTGGTTAAAGAAGATGTGTATGTATTACCATCAGTGGCTGCTGACTCAGCTCTTTGAGGAAGTAACTGTCACCTCTTATATGGTCTGCAGCCAATCAAACAGAGGATCAGGCTGCTGCTGTGTGGYGTGTTTTAACCGAAAGAGTGACATCTATAAATTAAGACCGTTTCCCCCCAAATGGTTCTAAGAATATGATGTAACTGAGCTGAGCAGCAACACAAGGTTTTTTTTTCACATTACAGTCACCAACAAAAACCAAAACAAACCCTGGTTTTCTTGAAAACCACAGCCGAGATACACTGGAACACTTCATATTGCATTTATCTCCAGGTTCACTTTGCTTTGACTAATTAATCATATTAAAAAATAAAATTAAAATAATAAATATTAGACAGCTGCATAAACACAAGCATAAAAACAAAGGCAACAATGTTTTWGCCTGTGTCTGCATGTTAGTAAAATATCTCACTGAACCAAAAAGTAAGCCTCTTATGATCCTTTTGATATACACCAACAACTAATTAACTTTTGAAGCTAAATAAAACTGATAGTTGCCACAGCCAACTGACCTTAAATTACACAAAAGTGGCTACAGTTCAGTAAGCTTTATAGATCTTGAAGTAAAAATTGGTGTGGTAGTAGCTGAGACTCTTACCCAACAAGTGTTTAGAGCTATTTAGAGTCAACCGCCTGTTTGCAGTCTGGTTTAATACTCTGGCACAAATAGAGGTGAGCGATATGCTCTCCTGAAAGGAGTGTTAGGTCTTTAATTGAAATAAATTCTATTTATGCATTTCATTTTTAATAAGATGACACCAGAGGGGGGCGCCATTCATTTTCATCAGAGCAAAAAAGTGGAACAATTGTATAAGTCTTTACTTAGTTGGATTGATATAAATTTTATTATTATTTATTTATTTTACCATTATGATTATCATCATCATCATCATCATCATAATCATCATTGATTATATTATTATCATTATTTATATTTTTATTAGTAGTATAGAAGTTGCAGATTGATATTTAGTAATGCAAACTTAATTTTTTTCTTCTTTTTTTTACATTTTGTTTTTAACTGTTTTTGTTGACAAATCCACTCCACTGACTTTTTATTTTTGCTACGTTTAAAAATATATGTGTTTAAGTGCTTTAAAAATGACAAGATGTGTGTGTGTGTGTGTGTGTGTGTGTGTGTGTGTGTGTGTGTGTGTGTGT